AAACGGCTTCAACACGACTTCAACATGGCATGATTTCCGGTAGCTTCACTATCGAGACAATCATTCCGTCGGGAACACGAAGGTGACGTCATTTTCGGGATGTCGTTTTGAGTCTCGCGAAATAGTCTCTACCTTATTACCCAAGGGATTTTCCTTGACAAGAAAATAAATCGCCTTTGTTACTACAATAAAGAATAAGGAATTAAATGCACAATTGTTAAACAAAGAAATGATACTCTAGGGAATGACGCGTGGACTGTAAAGGGAAACTAAAGCATTGCACCACATTTAAAAATCAAATCTAAATAGGGAATTTAGCTGGAGCTGGGCTGCCTGTGGTGTGAGGTCGCATGGGATTATGGGATAGGGAGAAAACCCTTTGAACGTTTTTACTAAAATCATGAACTTTGTTGTCTTTTGGTTGAAATTCTGCGGTTAATAGAAAGATTCTCGCCATAAATCGTTGTTTTTTACCAACCTAGTGTCTTCAATAAAGCCTGATGGAGGGATGGGATGCCAGACACGATGGAGAGAAGATCGATCTTGCTTTTATCATCGATTGTACAGGATCGATGGGKTCTTACATCAAACAGGTCCAAAAACACGTCCACTACATCGCAGAAACTATCTCTCGTACTGCGTTTAATGTAAGACTAGCACTGATCGAGTACCGCGATCATCCTCCACAAGACAAGAGCTTTGTTACTCGGGTAAACGATTTCACAGGAAATGTCGGCGAGATGAAGAAATGGGTTGATGGAATGAGTGCTGGGGGTGGAGGTGACTGGCCAGAGGCTGTTGCAGACGGGTTGTACGAAGCTAGTAGGCTGTCTTATAGGAAACAAGCTACCAAGATGTGTGTCTTGATCGGTAGGTTTAAGCTGTATTTTATGTTAAAAAAATCCTGAATGACAAATGACCTTAGATCAATACAAAATCACTCCGTGAAGGCTTCTGTAATCTCTGATACAGAATTCGTCCGCGTCCTGATTTACAAGGTTGACTTTGAAATATCTCGGCCGAATTACATCTAATGTTAAAAATTTTACTCTAAAAAAGCATTAATCTAGACATTTCAAAAGTAATAARCTATATTCGTGTGAGATTTGCAGCTCACTGTTTTAAATCCTCATACAAATCTCCCGCTTATATTGTATATATTACTCAAAGCTGCTTTTAAAACCCCAGTGGAGCACCCAGAACGATTTCAAGGGGGATGACTGTTACTTAAAGATGAACCACGTCATATTGCATCCTGTTTTTAGGTTTCATTTTATACTATGTATATTCTTTGTTTTTCAACTCCAAATGAATCCTCCTATATATCTGAACTACATTCTCCCTCCTTCCCTTCTTGACAAGGAAAGAAAATAAGCTTTATTCAATCRTGTACTTTTATATTTCCTCTTACAAGCATGAAGTATATATGCAACCAAAGCAAACTTGAACACAAACAGATAACAAACGTGAAAAATTTTAGTTGTGCTTTAGTGTAATTTGTGGGAGGCAGCATCTTCGAGCACAGGAAAAAATATATAAAAAACATTATGGTTTTTTAGCATATTCCCATTGTGGTAAAACTACATTAATGTGTCTTATCGAGACACATTAACATA